TCCCAGGAACCAAATTTCAAAAGTGCAAAACTTCATTATGGAGAATAAAGGCACTCGGCTTGAAATTTGCAATTGTTACGCCTACATGGAATTCGAAGAAATGCAAAAGTAGATACATCATGAAGATTGCTTTAGAGAATTGCTTCAACTATATGATACCACTCAAGAATTATATAGCAAACAAAATACAAATGCCAAACACGGCTTTACAATGCACAGTATAGCAAAATATGCAATGCAATGCCTTCAATTTCAAACAAACAAAATCAAACTAGTAATTCATTGCAGTCGTTCATCTCAAGCAATCCTCCACCCCAACCTAAACCGTTCACGAATCTACAAAAGCAAGAATACGAAAGCTTGAATTAATTCACGAGTGATGAAAATTGGTTGTTCACATTGTTATTCAATAAAAATTCACGGGCTGAGAAAACGAAATTTCTTAACAATGGTCCCTTCAACATTAATTCATATTGCTTACAGAAATGGGCATTCATATTTCTTACATTAATTCTATTTACAGGAATAAAAATTCAATTTGACGACAAAACTAAATTCAGAAATACAAGCATTCTTATTGCTTACATTTTTTCGTCCCTTCAACAACCACTACACTTAGACCGTCCCAAGTGAAGATGAGAAAAAAAAATAGAGGCAGGGAAAAGCATTTACCAAGAAATGGTGCGGTAGTTCAACTGCGTTCGGCTGCTCAAAGTCTTCTTGGCGCCGTGCTTGAGGCTGGAGTGGTGGGAATCGATTGGGTCTCGATTTCTTTCTGTTTTTCATTTGGGGGAAGGGGGGATTAGGTTAGATTTGAGAGGGGAGGGGAGGGGGGGATTGGAGCTATATCGTGTTTCTCCAAAAAAAATGGGCTGGGTGGGAGACTTTTTTAATGGGCCAGGTGGTTTAGACATTGAGCAGCCACGTGGACAATTTTGAAAAACTGTGCACCTAACTGTGTATGGAAATGTAAGAGTAGCATTTCTCAAAAAATAAAAGAAATGTAGGATGTTGGAGGTGACGTTTCTTCTCCTTAATCATTACTATTACAAAGTTTCAGACTTTAAGATGTTCTCTCTAACATTGCAGTTTTTCACTCAGAATGAACTCTATACAATCCTCCCAAAGCTAATTTCATCAATCCTATCATATTTATTTATCCGGATCCATAAAGTCTGATTGGAACTAGTTCACAATGTAGATCTATTATGAATCCTCCATCAACTGGTTCTAGTACCTGATCCATCAAATTCCTACAATATCAACATGCACACTAATTCTTGGATCCTTGAGTTTCGACTCCATTCACTCTAAGGTAATCCTTGAGTATATTTTGGGATCTAGCCAATATTTATGGATATATTATGTATTATATAGAGTATTTTAAATGTATTTTCCAAGACGCAGTCTTATTTTTAGTTAAGGTAATCGTGAACCTTGTAATGGTTGAATTTATGGAAATCAAATAGTTTTATGACATTTTTGGTGGTCAACTGTTTTAGGTTGGCCACATGCCTAATTCTAATTACTACTAAATGGTTTAATAAGTGGTGTAGGTGGGAAGAAATTTTGACTAGTTTACCACCATCGCATTCTGTGAATACATGTTGAAATACTCAAGATTTGAGAAAGAAGAATCTTGAACCGAGAGCTCCGTCTTCAAACTCCAATTATGCGAAAAACCGTCGTCTAGAATGCTGTGTTTTTCTCCCAATAATTCTACTGAATGGAATGGTATTGTAATGTTAAACCACCTGATTTGC